GGGAAAGACCAAACGTAGAGAGATTCCCTAAATAGCTGTTTTCCCGTATCTTGAGAATGGACGGCTAGGATTTGCAGATAACCTTATCAATTATTTTGTTGAAAAATAAATAAATAACACATAAATACATGTGTATATATATTGTTTGGGCTGTTGTGTTAGTGAACAGTGAGCTGACATAACCCCACCATGTCTCTCTGTCTCCATTAAGGTTTTTCTCTCTTCCATCCACAAATACAAGAAATGGTAGTTGGCATTTTGGGCCAACCTTTCAATATGCAACGTTGGTATCGGTATATTATTATTATTATTATTATTATTATTATTATTATTATTATAGTCTTTAATTGATTTGTTGATTATTTTAGTAGTTTCTCTGTGTTGTGGTGTAGAATATCTTCTGCTCCACCAATTATTTTTATTGAAGATTGAAGACGAAATCTTTAGTCAGATTGCATCTCATCTTGGTCACCCTCCCGTGTCGTTGATTGTTTTATCTAATTCATATACATTAATTAAAATATCTTATATCCTATATAGTGGGGTGCCGTATATATATTTGTTTTATAAGATGTAATCATATATGTCAAAAACATTATTAGAATGTCTATATTTACAAAATCAATAAATCTATATTTGAAAACATATAATTATACATTGAGAAATAAAATTGAAAAATATGTGTGTATATAAAGACATTTTTGTAAAGAAATTAAATATCGAGTTGTATATAAGCACATATATATACACATGAATAGTTGTGTTATATTGATTGTTATCATTTAAAATAAAAAATATATGACAAAATAGATTGAACATATTATTAAAATTAAATATATCAGTATTTTAGTTTTTCATTTTATTTAAATCGTTTTTATTCTATATACAAGTAATATTATATTATGTTCATTAGCCATAAAAAAATTTCGACTAAAATATCAAAACATCGTATTGTTATAGGCGTGATCTTATAACAAACCCGTGATAATAAATCCAAGAGAGAAAGGTTAAATTTTCTTTAAAAATAAATAAATTTATAACATATTAATTACTAAATATAAATATGTCGTTTTCCCGATTTTTCTTTATTTTATATTTAACTATTTACCAATTATACTATTTAATCATGAAAGGACCACGTGCTCGTTAATCACGGACGTCTGGAACGTACGGCAGGAGATCTATACGAAGGAAAGTACAAAAAGTTCTTGACCGTTAGATTTTGTAGTATGCGCGGACCCATCGGGGACCTTACTCGAAAAAGAACCGTTTAATCTTTTCCAAGTGAAATAATTTCGATAAATTAATTAAAACTAGATAATAACCTGTGGCGCGTAAACTAAAAAAATATGTATAATTTTTTTAAAAATATTATTACTTTTAAATTAAAAAATGTCTTGTAATTTGTAATTGTTCTCTCTTTTAGTACTCATCTTTTCTTGCATGAAGAATAGTGTATAATAATAATTAATTAGGATTTGGATATCCGCAAGTATCTAATTTTATAGATATTCGAAATGGAGATATTCGATTATTGATCAAAGTAATAAAAACGGGTGTAATAATGTCAAGAATTCGAATGACGGATTCGGGTTCGGGTTTTTTTTTAATGATTATAGGTTGATCCTACGTACTCGGATCATCATAACAACATTAACGTGTTCTACGTTTTATTAATTACGTTTTAAAATAGTTAGTTTTGTTAAGAAAATGTTGACTTTAATGGTTAATTAATTTTGTTAAGAAAATGTTGACTTTGATCCAAAATATCCAAATAAATACGATTTTATCATATTTTAAAAAACCTTTTGTGGGCACTACCATATGAATATGAGAATTTCTTTTATGATTTTTTTTCCCTTTTTGAATATATCATGAACGGGGGCCAAACCTATACATCGAAAACAATTTTTATTATACTTTCAAATTTCAGTGCTTTAAATTTTTGTACCGATCAGCATTTTTGGTGAAGTATAGTAAACATCTTATCTCTAAATTTTATTTTGTATTAATATAAAATATTTTAAAACTATAATTGAGATTTGAGACTCTTGTTTTCAGTTTTTTGCTTGGTTTCATCACACACACTATTCAATGTTTTTGCCAACTACATATCGTTGTACAATTCCGTTTTTCTACCAATTTTATTATTCAAGCCGTACTAATATATATATATATATATATATATTGGACAAACAAACAAATAGACTAAATAATAGATAAAAGGAAAATTAGAATATTAACGCCTGAATTTATCAAATTTCTCTAAATAAGCCCTAAATTTTGATATTCATGTTTAAATAAATTTAAATTTGATAAACCATGTCAAATTTAATCTGACAATTCGACGTGATAATTTCGAATTGGACAGTGGGAAAAAAAATAAAAAAAAGAAAAAGAGACGGGGGCAAGTGTAAAAAAATGCAACATTCACAGTGAACACGTCCCACGTTCTTTTTTCTTGCCTTTTTTAGACCCTTCTCTTTGCCACTTGCCCATCCCTCTCATCCCCCTCTCTCTGGCCGGAGAGAACCTCCGAGAGACGACGTCGTTTCAAAAGAATCTCGAAACAAAAGCCATGTTGGATCTCAACCTCGGAATCTTCTCCTCACACAACGATCGCGAAGAAGATGGTCGGAAAACGATCGCCGAAGATTCTTTATCCTCCGCTGCCGCCGACGCTTTCATCGCCTTCGGAATTCTCAAGCGAGACGACGGCGAAATCCGTCAGCTTTTCCCGGTCGCAGGAGAGATTCCTTCCGACTTCTCCGGAGATCTCGGTCTTAGCACCACCACCACCACCAGCACGACACCGTTTTCGATCAATGGAGATACCAGTCAATGGTTGAATCTTTCTTCGTCTTTGCAAAAGATTAGTGATAATAATAATACGCAAGTGGTGAAGAAGAGCCGACGAGGGCCGAGGTCCAAGAGCTCTCAATACCGAGGGGTCACTTTTTACAGGAGAACCGGCCGATGGGAGTCTCATATCTGGTAATTTAATTATATTTCAATTCTCTATCCATTTATTTATTTATTCATTTCTACTATCTTACGATGATAAAAAAATCGGTTTGCTCTTAAATTACTAGATTCTCATTATTTGACCAAGATCAAGAAAGTAGACGGACCAACTGTCTGGATCATTTAAATTTCCTGGTTATCCCAGAAACAGATTGATTTGAATAGAAATTTGTAGTAAGTTTATTTTCATTTACCAATTGTAATGTTTTGATTTGGGTTTTTTGGGGGTTGTTGTGTAGGGATTGTGGAAAGCAAGTTTATTTGGGTAAGTATTTTAAATTCTACCCTTTTAACCGTATGACTGAATATATATATATATATATATATATTTTATATTCCTATGTATACAATTTTCGATTAAAAAAAGGAAATGTTGTTAAATTAATTATTTCATCTGTCTCGTGTTGCTTGTTCAACAGGTGGTTTTGATACTGCCTACGCCGCAGCAAGGTATATTACACACTCAAGCAAAACATAAACAGATCCTTATTTACAATTTCATAAACAAAATAAAACATTTTATATAAAATCAGAGCATACGACCGAGCTGCCATCAAATTCCGAGGCCTCGACGCAGATATCAACTTCGACGTGAATGATTACAGAGCGGACATCGAAAGGGTAAATTCCTTGTGATATATAATGCCCTTAAGCAAAACAACGTCGATTATATATTAAAATCCCCCAAGATTATAGTTTTTATGATCACTGATTTCGGATCTTTCAATGAATGTACGCGTGTGTACGTAGATGAAGAATCTAAGCAAGGAAGAGTTCGTCCAAACACTTAGGCGTGAAAGCGCGAGTTTCGCGAGAGGAAACTCTAGACACAGAGGCCTAAACCTTAACCATAACCAATGGAAATCGGATCCGACCCATCTCCACAAAGACAGGTTGTGAATCGGACCCGAACTGTTCCATGATGTTTTTTTTTCCACACTCAAAGTGGTTTGGTTTGGTAATCATCCAAGTCTAATTAACATATCAAGAAACCTTGACATGTGTAAATAAATATTTGATTTCCCATTAGAAACAATATGCAATTTTTTTTCACGAGAGAATATATATTTCGTCCTACCTTTAGGGCAAGTTCTAAACACCAAATGGGGTGAAAACTTATTCATTTTAATTAAAGTTTTCTGAATTTAATATACATATGTTTTTGTATATGTGTGAGGGAATAGGGCACTGGATGTAGGAGGCATGAGACTCATCAAAAGCAATGATTTGATTAAGGGAGAAGTGGCGATGAAGCTAGGTGCCAATGATAAAGGTACGTTTATGAATTAATGTGGGCCTCATGCATGAAAGATATATGATATTTTTCGGGTTGGTAGGTGAAAATAAAGTTGATAAAAACCCTAACCAAATCGCAATTTTATTAATAATTAAATAAACCCTAACTGTTAATTAAGAATCCCGCCCTTGGAGCAATTTTGGCCGAAATCTCCGAAATGATTGTGTTTTATTGGTGGAAGATACGACTGATTATTTGAACCGCACACGCGTCTGTTTCATCGTTATGGAATAGTAAACCCCAAAATTCAACAAGTGATGTTTTAGGGTTTGGGATGCAAAGTGTTAGTGATTTCCGGGTTTAGTTATAAAAATTTGAATGAAAGCGAATCACATAATCTATAAAATTGTATGTATCCGGAATGAATCCGGGTTTAAAAATGACTGTATATAATTTTTAAAAAATTTAATCGAGTAGAAATCAAATATGAAAAAATATATAAAAAATTGAAATAAAACTGACTCATTTTCTGAAAATTATTATTATTTAATAAAAACCAAACTGAATTTGGAATCGGAAAAATGATAAAAAAAATCAAATGGATATTTTTTTTAATAAAAAACGAAATAATTGAGCAATTTAAGCACTCTTAACATCCTATGTTTTAGAGTTGAACCGATTACACATCTCATTCAAATCTATTTTTCTTCTTTTTTTTTTGTTCTCAGAAAACGACCACAAGGATCTCGAACTAAGTCTCGGAATATCGTCGTCGTCGTCGTCGGAAAATAAAAAACCTAGGACGATCGATCGTTATACCGGTTTAGACCGGTCGAAGAAAGATTTCCTCGGAGAACAATGGCCGAAATATCTACCGGTGGCGGCAACAATGAAATCGTTGAAGACAGTTGCAGCAGCATCATCAGGATTCCCTTTCATCGCCACCATGGTCGATTCCTCTTCTATCGGCTCATAAACACTCGATTCATGTGGTATGGATGTAATCTTATTTTAATTTAACCAACGAATACCATTTTTAAGTGTATCATATGATATTATTTGCATTTTATTTATGGTACGGTATGGGCACGCACTCGTTTAGTTTCTATTAAAAGTGTTAAAATAGCTTTAAATAATTGTTTTTTAAAATATTGAGATCACGTTCGACCCTCATGTAATCTACTCTATTATCCATATATATATATATATATATATATATATACAAACGTCTTTCGTTTACGGAAACGATGTGTCGATTTTAAAATAAAGAAAACGTTTAGTTTATTTTTTAAAATGACAATATTATTAAGTACCTTATATCTCAACTAATCAAGAAAAACGGTCTAAAGCATTTCATTTTATATTATATGAAACTTAATTATAACGAAGATCCGAATTTGTGGTATACAAACCTATCTGTAAAATGAGATTTTGAAAACCTAATTTCATTAATATGAAGTCCTACTTTAATTTCTGTGCAGAGACGGGCGCAGAAGGAGAAACGAGATATATGTATGGACCGTTCTATGTTAATAATACTGAAATTCTATATATTTGAATTATTACACCGAAAACAAAAAGTTATTTCTATAAGGGTATTTATTGTATCTTCAAAGAAATGGTATTTGTTTTTTTTCTGTGAAATCGAAAGGGAAAAATAGTGAAAAAAATAGGTTAAAGGAAGAAAAGGACAGTGAGCGGCCACGTCATGGGGATGGGAAGTACAACGTCGTATGATTGCCGCCAAAGTACACCGCCTTCACTCGTTTCTTATCCTCTCTGTTTCCCCCATCTTTTTTATTAAACAAATAAAAAAGCCCTCGAATATGCATTTAACTAATATCTTGATTTTGATCGTCAACATTAGGCGAATATTTTATGTATAAATTATGGTTGAATTTAGTTATTTTGGAATTAGTTTTATACTCGATTTTTATATCCACTTTTCATCCAGTTATTTTAAAATTACTCATTTTTTTAATTTGATTTTTTTTTACAAAAGCTACACTATACTCGATTTAAATTTGGTTAAATTAATTTTATAAAAATATAGATCTAATAAAATTTTAAATTAAATTCAATTTAAATATCTAACATGATGGAATACATTTTTTTTAAAACCTTGAAACCCCAATAGGGATTCCAAAGCAAAACTATACATAAACATCATAAATATTCAAAACCATAACATAACCAAAAACTGTCCTAACGAAGAAAGAAACAAGTCATCAGATTCTTTCAACTGTGGTTTCAACATTTCAGGAACATCCCTCCTGTCTTCTCTCAGGCTCATCTTCTTTCGTTGCTGCTTCAGAATTTTGCAGAAGACAAAACCAACAAAACAATGCCACTGTTAGGGTTTTCTAACTGAAGACACCATGTCAGACTGCAACTTCCAAGCCATGGTTGTGTTAGAGATCACAAGAATGACCGATAAGTACACTGACATGGGGGATTTTTGAAGAAACCTGCCAGAAAAAAAGGGCTTCCGATCCCATTGCATCACAGCTCTCGCGTTTCCGGAATCATCGAAACAGTAATGGCTTCCCCTTCTCATACGATCCCTCGAGAAAATTTCGAGCATCTGAAACTAAACCAACATGACGAGAGACCGATAAAGGGCCAACCTTGTGCAGTACAAAATCATCACAGGTTATTATGAGAATCTACCCCACCACCGGCTTTTCTGCCGATGAGAACATCATACGTATGACCATCAGGTGTAACACCCTTATCAAGCATTTCGTCGTGAAGTGCGAAAGCCTTGTTCAGATTTCCTTCACTACGATGCTCGGCGATCAGGGCATTGTAGATGTTCACGTTTGGAATTTTACCCTTCTTCTCCATCTCTTCGAGAATCTCTTGTGCATTCACCAGCTGCCCGTTCTTACATAGACCGCTGACAAGTGCTGTGTACATGATGAAATCCGGTTTGATACCCTCTTCAATCATCTTCGAGTACAAATCCAAAGCAATATCCAACTTTCTTTCCTTCAGACATCCATCTATCAGAGTTGTATACGTTGGCAGATGACAGTGTATACCATCGTTCATCATTTTCTTGTACAAATCAAGCCCCGCGTCAATATTTCCCACATCACGGTAACCCGAAATCAAGCTATTGTAAACAGTAACAGATGGGCACAACCCTAGTTCAAGGAGTTCAGAGAACAGAGCAGAAGCTTTTTCCATGTCTCGCATTTTACAAAACCCGTCTATTAAAGCACCGTAGACTGGAATATCCCGTTTGATACCCCTGTCTTCCATTTCCTTAGTCATTTTCAGCGCAAGATCCATCTTACTAGATTTGAAGCAGCCATTGATCAAGCTTGTATAGGTTACTGCGGTGGGGAAAACACCATTGTCACACATCTCCCTGTAAGTTGCCAATGCAGAATCAAGATTGCCTTCTTTGACAAACCCATCTATGATGCTATTGTAAGTCCTGCAACTCGGGCCAAAATTCAATTCACTGATGAACTTTTGCAACGCATCTCTTGCATCAGATGTCTTACCGGCCTTGCACACACCATCAATAAAAGAGCTGAACACGACCTCGTTGGGAGTGACACTAGAAGAATCCATTTCATGGAGAACATCAAAAGCATTCTGTATATCACCATTTTTGGAATATCCATCGATCAAAATGGAATACGTGACGTTATTCGGTTTAAGACCCTTCTCCAGCATCTTTGAAAAAATAATACGAGCCTTTTCCATATCTTTCACTTTGCAATGGGCAAGAATCATATTATTGTAAGAAACTGCATTAGGCTCAATACCCTTACTCTCCATCATACGTACCAAGTTTATAGCCTCATTTATCTTGCCTTGCTTGCATAACCATGACAAAATACTGTTACAGATGAAAGTATTTGCAACACCAGATTCAACCGACTCATCAAATATCGTCAGTGCCTTTTCTGGAGTCTGAGCTTTCAAATACCCTCGAATCATTGAGTGAACATGAAAGCAAGAAGGAGGAATACTTACAAGTTTCATTTCCTCGTAAAGCTCAAGGGCCTTCTCCATATTCTCTTTCCTACAACACCATTCTATCAGAACCGAAAAAGTAACCTTGTTCGGGGACGGTCCTTTCTCCTTCATCTCTCTAAACAAATCCAAAGCACTGACCAAATCGTCGTTCTTGCAGTGCCCCTTAATCAGGCTCGTTGCAGCAATTACATTCATCGGTATCCCACAACTCACCATCTCATCCTTTAACCTCAATGCCTCCTCCAAGTTTCCCTCTGTCACGGAAGCCGTTATCACACTAGTATACGTTTCCTGAGATGGAACATTCATCTTTTCTCTCATCTCTCTCAACAGACCAAAAGCCATACTCAAATCGGGCTTCTTGCAGGCAGCCTGAATAGCAAGACTATACATTAATCCATCAGGCTCTACCCCTCTACTCTTCGCATCACCAAAAATCTCCGCAGCCTCCTCAGGCTTCCCTTCTCTCAAACTCGCCCGCATGAACAGCTGCGTGGTAAAGTTATCACCAGTAACACCTAAGGTAACCATCTTATGATACAGTTCTCGAGCTTCATCCATGGAGTTCCTTCTAAGTAAAGCACTAAAAAGACTGTTCATATACGTAACGAATGGAATCGCCTTTCGCTCTAACATTAGATTGAGGCAGTCTACGGCATCATCCACACGCCTCGCTCGGATATAACCATTCAACAAGTAATTAAAAGCTCGAGAATTTAGTTCAAACCCAAACTTTTCAGCGCAATAGACGATGCGATTGACTGCCACGCTTGGCTTAGGGATTGAGTAGTTCGAAAGGTACCGTATGATCAAATCTCTGGCGGGAGCGAACGTCTCGCGACAACCCAGCAGAATGTGAACGAGTACCCACAACACGTCGCCATCTTGGTCGAACCCGCCCCACGGCTCGACCCAATTGTAGTACCGAAGAGCCGACCGTGGGTCACTCCGGTGACCCAGAAGCGCGTCGATCACACGCGCTTCGTTCATGATGTCGCCTCCATATTTGGAGGTGGAGGGATAAGGCACAGAGTCCGATAATGTGGAATTGACTGGACGTTTAGGAGAAGCGGATTCGTGGAGGGGTTTCCCGGTAGAATTGCTGTCGCGGGCTGGATAGTCGGGTGCCCTGGAAGATCGAGATTGTGAACAAAAGGGTTTAGGGTTTATCAAACGACGAAGAAGATTCGGTGGAGGAATTCGTTTGGGAGTCAAGGAAGAACTCATTTTTCGTCAGCAATCGTCGTCTGCAGAGATGACCGGAGACGACGATGCAGCCCTAGCCTTGGCGACCTGGTTTGCAACGAGTCAACTTCGTATGATCCATGGGCGACCCATGATGGGCCAACTCGGCAGCCGAATAACATATATGGACCCGTTTTAGTGTTTCTAAAATAAAGAAAAAAAAAGATTTTTTAAAGAAAGTTACGGCCGGCTTCATTCTCCGACAACGCAGGGGAGAAGGAGATGCCATTTCGCCCTCCTCCTTCCTCCAATCTCACAAGGGTACGTCTCTCTTCCTCCTGAAAGACATGAAAAAATGGACCTTTTTATGCATTTTTACTGAGTTTTTCTTCCTGGTTCTCCAGCGATTGTTCATTTGTTTGACCCAATCTTTGTATGAACCCTTTTATTTACAAAAAAAAAAAATCAGCTTTCACTTAAAGATTTGTTTTTTTAATCCAAAGTGCATTTCTCCTTTCTGCCTTCTTATTGTATGAATATTTCATAAATATGTCAGATCAAAGATGAGATTCCTATGTCTTGTTTCGCGTTTAATCATCCCCAATGTTTGCAATGATAATATTTTATATATTTTTTAATGTGCTAATTTACAAATATCAACAGATCTACAGCTTGCACATCTTCACTCCACGACACTTCCACGACCTTCAATATGAAGTCAAATGTGACTATTGACTTCCACGTGGCACTTCCTCATTCGCTGGTGTTTTCCCTCCGACAAATCATCCACGTTCACTTGGCTTCTTACAGTCAACTCTTCCTCTAAAACCATGCAATATACATAAAACCAGACATCTCTGCATCTCACTGTCTTCGTGATCCGTCCCAATGGCGTCGTCGGCGAGCATCTTCCTCACTCTCTTCCTCTCCGCTCTTCTTCTCCTGAACTCGCCGTCTCTTTCGCTCGCCGTTGACTCAGATCTTGATGAAGACGTCGCTTTCCTCGCTTCCGAGGAAGCCAAGGAACATGCCCATGTCCCCTACGGAGATGACCACGACCAGTTCCATTACCAAGACTTCGAAAACTACGAAGACTTCGAATCCGGAGAAGGCGGGTACGAGCACGGCGGAGCGCACGAGGAGGAGCCGCTGTTTCCGGCGGTGGACGAAAAGGACGTGGTGGTGCTGACGAAGGAGAATTTCACGGGTTTTGTGGGGAACAACAGCTTCGTGATGGTGGAGTTCTACGCGCCATGGTGCGGACACTGTCAGGCTTTGGCGCCGGAGTATGCGGCGGCGGCGACGGAGCTGAAGGGCGTGGCGGCGCTCGCGAAGCTCGACGCGACGGAGGCAGGCGAGCTCGCTCAGAAGTACGAGGTGCAGGGGTTCCCGACAGTGTTTCTGTTTGTTGATGGAGAAGTACAGAAGACTTATGAAGGGGAAAGGACCAAGTAAGTGGCTTTGAGTTCAAGATTGTGTTTTATCTGATCGATTGTCTGACCCATTTTGGGATCAATGCGTTGGCAATAGAGATTGGTTTGTTTCAGATTCGTAGTTTGGGATCTGTCTGGATGCTAAATTCGGAGACTTTTTTTTTATCTGATTTGTTAATGTTGTAGTTTTGGTAGGCCAAAGTGATTAGAGATCTCTCTTTGATGTGAGTATGGAACTTGTCATCTGAGACATTATTGAGATCAGAGAGAGCTAACATTGACCCGAGATTTACGGGAATTTGTATGGATTTTGCAGCATAATATCAGCATTGCATCAACATCTGGGTATTAGATCTCTTAAATTTGGAGTAGAGAATGAACTTCAAGTATTCTATATATATGTATGTGCATATATGTATTCCATGTTGGATTTGTATCTGTCCCCAGTTGAAGAAAAATGTTGATGTTGGTGAATCTGTGAGAACAAATGTTTATGGAACCTCGAAAACGGAATACCTGATGATCTATTGCGGGGTTTAAACTATTCTGGTTGAGTTCTGATATGTTCCTGTTTAGTTATTTGTATTGATACATGTTTTTGGTAGATGCGTTTTCATTTGTGATGCCTCTGATTGGATAAACTGTTTGGTTGCAGGGACGCAATCGTGACTTGGGTGAAGAAGAAGATCGGCCCAAGCATCCAAAACATTACTACAACCGTTGAGGCAGAACGTGTCTTGTCCGCTGAACCAAAAATCGTTTTCGGATTCCTCAACTCGTTAGTGGTATTCTTTTCTGCTCGTTCTTGCAAAAATCACTTCAAGAATTGGTTTTGGGGCACTTAACTTCAAATCTAGTAGTTCTGTTCAAACTGACTTTAGGGTTGTATCTTGATTGTAAAGTCTGCATCTTTCAGATGCAATGTGTGATCGTTGTTTTCGAAAATACGTTTTGAACACTTGGGTTCAACTTTTCTACTCCTTTTTCTTCATAGGGTCCGGAAAGTGAAGAGCTTGCAGCTGCTTCCAGGATGGACGACGATGTTAGCTTTTACCAAACTACGAGTCCTGAAGTTGCGAAGATATTTAAAATCGAATCCGAAGCCAAGCGTCCTTCCTTGGTCATTCTGAAAAAGGAGGATGAGAAACTCGCCAGTTTCGGTTAGATTCCTCGAGAATTCGATTTCCTTTCCCCCGGTTTCAATCCTCTCTTACACGATTGTTCTTATGATCTAAAGGTGTGTGTGGCATTTTTCTCTTTATGGCAGATGGAAATTTCATTAAGGCAGCTATATCAGAGTTTGTGTCAGCAAACAAAGCTCCCTTAGTGATTAATTTCACGAGGGAAAGCGCATCACTCATCTTCGAAAACCCGATAAAAAACCAAGTAAAAGACCCTTTTCTCCGTTTGTTTTCTCGTTGTGTGTTGATGATGACGATATCGATATTTGTAGTCTCCATTTTTTTTCCCAGTGCTGATTTCTTCTGTTACCTTGTCAGCTCATTCTATTTGCTGCTGCAAACGAAACCGAGAAGCTCCTTCCCACTTTCAGGGAGGTGGCAAAGTCCCTTAAGGGAAAGGTTGTCATTTCTTTCTCTTCTGTTGATAGTTTGTCAGGAAACTTAATGTCGAAACATCAATCAGTTATGTTCAAGGCCGGGCGATAGGATTAAGAATAGCGGGTTCTGTTTGTTGCAGTACGTCTTTGTTTATGTGCAAATGGACAATGAAGATTATGGACAAGCTGTTTCTGATTTCTTCGGTGTTACCGGAACCGCCCCGAGAGTAAGTTTTCCTCCACGTAACATCGCTCGGACTTTGTTCTTTACCGGTCACTTGGTACAATGAATCCGTTGATATGTTTTTGTTTGAATGCGTAGGTGATGGTATACACTGGAAATGAAGATACGAGGAAGTTTCTTCTGGATGGTGAATTGACACTCGAGAACATTAAGGTTTTTCCGAGTTCGATACAGTCCCGATTTGCGGTTTCGTGATTCGCAATATGTTTTTCGTAACTTGTAGCGATCTGTTTAAATACGTTTCTTGTATATATTTGTCGATAGACATTTGCAGAAGATTTCTTAGCTGACAAACTAAAGCCTTTCTACAAGTCAGATCCCGTGCCCGAGAAAGTAAGTCCTTCTCCTGGAAACAACCTCGGCCAGGAACATGCTCTTGTGACCTTAAGGGACAATAACTAATCTATTTCCTATCGAATTCTGATCCAACGCAGAATGACGGTGATGTTAAGATCGTTGTTGGCAACAACTTTGACGAGATCGTTCTTGACGAATCAAAGGACGTTCTTCTCGAGGTAATCATATATTGTCTTTCAGACAAAGAATCGGTCAAGTACGTTTCTTCTTGTTGTATCCTCGTTATACCTACGACGTTTCGGTTTTTCTCCAGATATACGCTCCTTGGTGCGGCCATTGCCAAGCACTCGAGCCAACTTACAACAAGCTCGGGAAGTATCTCAGAGGCGTCGAGACACTTGTCATAGCCAAGATGGATGGCACAACCAACGAGCATCCTCGAGCTAAGGTACTACTAGCTCGACGCAAATCTTTGCGGGCTTAAGACAAACTGAGATTAATCATAAACTTTAAAAAAGAAAGACATTTATGAATAAGATCTTAATCTATTTTGTTCTGTCTCCATCTCTCACAGGCTGATGGCTATCCAACAATCCTTTTCTTCCCCGCTGGAAACAAGAGCTTCGACCCGGTGAGCTGATCTGATTAAATAAACTCTCCCTTTTTTTCTCTCCCTTCTCGTCGTACCGTTTCATCGCCACGGGGTTTTGAAACACGAAAACCGGTTCTGTCGCGTCAAGAACTGATTTGTTAGTTTTTGTTCGGACGTCAGATCACTGTGGAGGCCGACCGAACTGTGGTGGAAATATACAAGTTCCTGAAGAAGCATGCATCCATCCCTTTTAAACTCCAGAAGCCGGCATCCTCCGCTTCTGAACCGGTCATTGCCATTGAAGAGCCGAAGAAGGTTTCGTCTGATGGAAAGGATGAGTTGTGATGATGCCTACTGGGAAACTTGATAGATGAACCCTAACGTCCAAAAGGGTTTCCATTGATGACAAAAAAAAACGAGTTTTTTTTGTTTGTTGTTGTTGTAACTTTAGAATTGTTGTATGCTGTGATTTGGGGCAATCGAACAAAGAAGAGAAGCATGTTTCTGAAGAATATGTTCATTTCATTTCTTCTATCCAAGAGAAGCAGTCTCAGTTCTGTCTGGTTCCGCGGGTTTGTTTTATTTTTCAATTAATATTTGTAAAACTAATAATAAATCAATCTCATTGAAAAAAGGTTTATAAAGATTTTTTTTAAATAAATATTCATCAAAAATCATTTTCGATTTAGAACCAAATTTATGTCAAAATAGCGTGACAAAAAAGGACAAGTGTTCGCATTTGTGTGGCTGTTTTAATTTTGTATACTAAAAAAAAAATATTTCTTCCGTTTACTCACCATATTTCTTGGAAAAATCCCTAATTCCCACTTCCTCGGTTCTCTCCAGATTCTTCCCCAAATGGCTCTCCGATCCCTCAAATCGCCGTTGCCGGCACCATCCGTCGCCTTCTCCGCCGGGAAGAGGCCTCGCTCCTGCAGTTTCGCGTCGAATCCGACCGTCGCCGTCTTCAACCGCCGCTACTCGTTCTTTGGCACCGCTTCGATCCTCAAACTCAATCCCAGTACCTCCGCCGCCGCCGCCACGTTTCCGTCACCTCCGACGAAGAGATTCCGGTGCATGGCGACGGCGCTGACGCCGCAGCTGAGGGAAACGCTGGACAAGCTGGTGAGCTCGAAGGAGGTGGTGCTGTTCATGAAGGGGACGAAGGATTTCCCGATGTGCGGGTTCTCGAACACGGTGGTGCAGATCCTGAAGACGCTGAATGCGCCGTTCGAGGACGTGAATATTCTGGAGAACGAGCTCCTGAGGCAAGCGTTGAAGGAATACTCGAACTGGCCGACATTTCCTCAGCTTTACATCAACGGCGAGTTCTTCGGCGGCTGTGACATTGCCATTGAGGCTTTTCAGAGTGGTGAGTTGCAGGAAGTATTGGAGAAGGCTATGTGTTCTTGAAATCACTAAAAAGAAAGGAAAACACGTTGTTGATTGTGTGGAATCTGTGATGAATGATACAGAAATTGTGTTTCTGGGTATTTAGGGTTTAATCTGTGGACTGGACGATCAATCATTGCATCTGAAAAAGATCACGCTTTATAAAGTGTTCAAGATAGTTAGAGAGTTGCTGCTAATGTCGGAAAACGTCTGAAAGGTGTTCAGTCTATACACTAAAACCTTTCCGTGATCTTGTCTTGATGTTTGATGATGCCTCCATAAGTGTAACGAAATTTCCGAAATTTCAACGGCTTCGGATATCGTAGGCATCCGGTTTTAGCCACGAGTATCCGGGTCTCACGAGATTGAGATCTAAGATGAGGTCGAGACGAGATCGATTACCCGACCGACGTCGAAATTGCGAGATATAGCGAATTTGAAATTGCAAGATTGGATTCATAGAAGAGACTTTGTTTCATAGAAGCTACTGTTACATTCGTCTATCCAACATTCCAACTCCTTTGGATCGATATGAAAGTTGCATCAAATGGTGAAATTGGACCGTTGATTCGTTCCGATTTTGGATTGTTATTGTTTTAATGAAATTAGTGTGCTTATTGTTTATGATTTATTAATAAAATGTTTCAAAGCATGTAACAAAGACCAATTACTGAAATGAGAATCGCGTGATTGATTGTGAAATACATAGCTTTACTGCAAATTTTTTTTTCTGATTTTTTTTTTAAAAAAAAACAAGGGAAGTGGATGAGGATAAATGGCAAGAAGGTAGTTTTATCCACTTGGCCTCCAACCGCACAAACAAGCAGATGCATATTTCATACCGGATTGAGAAGTGACACGTGGACCAATGACAGAAACCGTGTAAGCCCTCTTTACCCAATCACAATCCTCTTTTAGATTTTCAATCCCAACGCTCCTTATTATACACTCTCCTCTCTCACAACATCTCTTATCTCCACCAAATCTCTCCCTCTCTATCAGAAATGGCTTCGAACGCGCTGATGAGCTGCGGCATCGCCGCCGCGTACCCGTCGCTTCTCTCGTCGTGCAGCAATCGGCTTACCCGGGCACGGGGCCATTGGAGAACTTGGCTACTCACTTGGCTGATCCATGGCACAACAACATTGGTGACATTGTCATCCCTCCTTCCCTTTCGCCCTAAATCCAGAGTTCGTCCTCATTTCATCTTTCAACCACTGTAAAATTGGTAACGTGTGTGTGTAAAAACATCACCTTGCAATGAACGCGCTTGTCCTCCTCCCTTGTCTGTGTAATCTGATAACTAGGGCTTAGATATGCATACATATATATCAAATGTATTTGCTTGGAATCTCTTCAACTGGCTTTTTAAGTGGTTCAACATCAGTACATTTTTTGTTCAAACAAAACCAATCAAACCCAAACCGGACTAAACCGACGGTATTTCGGTTTTAGATTGGCACATTTTTTTGAAAACCGGTTCAAAGCTGAAAAAACGAAATCCAAAATCGATCCATGATACTGAACTCGGAGCATCTGCAATTTCATCTCTTAAAAATCGTACACCGTAATTATTTTATATGTTCTGCACATCAATAGCTTCCAATAACTAGAAATTAAAGAACCTACAAGATCTATGTTTACTTAATTTCTTATGGACATTTTGTTACGTTTAATATGAAGTAACACACACATGTCAACGGCGGCGGCCGCGTCAGCATGACAGCCGATTGGATGCCAGGTCAACCTCGCCCTCCTTACCTCGACGGCTCTGCTCCTGGGTACGAAATCTCTGGACTTTGATTGTCGGTTTTGGTTTATCTCGCGTTGACAGAAGTTGGACTGAAGTTTGGTTATGTTCGGTTTTTTGTCCGGTTCAATTACGGTTTAGTTTGGTGATGTTTTGTTGGGATACTAGTCTATGCTGAGCAATGTCGAAAACATGTGTTTGGTGATATGAGGCTTTGTTAGCTATAAATTAAAAGTGTGACTTCTTTAACGGTAACTTGTGTTAATCTTAAACGTTACAGACGAAATGTGTTCTATGTGAATATATCTATACGCTAAATTTGGACCATTATGTGCATGTTTGGATCTTTGATTAAGTTTTTTCTTTTATAATGGGACAGCGACTTTGGATTCGACCCACTTAGGCTGGGAGAAGTTCCGGAGAATTTGGAGAGATACAAGGAGTCAGAGCTCATCCACTGCAGATGGGCAATGCTTGCTGTTGTAAGTACCTCACCAACGAGTGAATACACACTCACGCATCGGTCTATGCCTAGTACAAATCTAGTTTGTGGGAGAAAGTATAATGGTTTTTCCCTATTCTTGAAATGTGCAGCCAGGGATATTGGTGCCTGAGGCATTGGGGTATGGAAACTGGGTGAAGGCTCAGGAATGGGCGGCGACACCGGGAGGTCAAGCCACGTACTTGGGCAACCCCGTGCCATGGGGCACTCTTCCGACCATTCTCGTGATCGAGTTCTTGGCTATCGCTTTTGTCGAGCACCAGAGAAGTATGGAGAAAGACCCCGAGAAGAAAAAGTACCCCGGAGGTGCCTTCGACCCTCTCGGATACTCCAAAGATCCCAAGAAGTTCGAGGAATTGAAGGTTAAAGAGATCAAGAACGGTAAAACACCTCTTCTTGATCACTTGTTCGCAAGCAAACGCATTCTTTGCTCATATATCTAACGGATGTGGTTATATTATTTCGATGAAATGACGAGTTTTGATATAAAACTGCTCTTGGTAACTCTCGATATATACGTTAATCTGATATCGTCGGTTTTGTAGGGCGACTCGCGTTGTTGGCATTCGTGGGGTTCTGCGTGCAGCAATCGGCTTACCCGGGCACGGGGCCATTGGAGAACTTGGCTACTCACTTGGCTGATCCATGGCACAACAACATTGGTGACATTGTCATCCCTCCTTCCCTTTCGCCCTAAATCCAGAGTTCGTCCTCATTTCATCTTTCAACCACTGTAAAATTGGTAACGTGTGTGTGTAAAAACATCACCTTGCAATGAACGCGCTTGTCCTCCTCCCTTGTCTGTGTAATCTGATAACTAGGGCTTAGATATGCATACATATATATCAAATGTATTTGCTTGGAATCTCTTCAACTGGCTTTTTAAGTGGTTCAACATCAGTACATTTTTTGTTCAAACAAAACCAATCAAACCCAAACCGGACTAAACCGACGGTATTTCGGTTTTAGATTGGCACATTTTTTTGAAAACCGGTTCAAAGCTGAAAAAACGAAATCCAAAATCGATCCATGATACTGAACTCGGAGCATCTGCAATTTCATCTCTTAAAAATCGTACACCGTAATTATTTTATATGTTCTGCACATCAATAGCTTCCAATAACTAGAAATTAAAGAACCTACAAGATCTATGTTTACTTAATTTCTTATGGACATTTTGTTACGTTTAATATGAAGTAACACACACATGTATATACATAATTATTTTTAAAGAAATAAAAAAAAAAGAATAATAAAATTAGTGAAATCAATAAAATAATGTGGAGCGTGGCCCTCGGTTCTTGAAATTCTCTTTTGACCTACTTTGACTGATGGACAAAAATTTTTTTTAAGAAAAATTATCACTATTCCCTAGTGGCCAATGAGAAGAGAGAATAGTAGAATAGGGTGGTCCATTCCATGTCTTATGATTTACTCTATTTTTTTATTTATCATCATTATATTTTTTATTTATTGAAGAAAAAAAGTGATTACCAAAGAAAAAAAAACATTATTTCTAATCTTTTTTCTCTCATCATTATTCATTAGTACTTTTTCCACCGGTTTACATTCCCCATGAATCTTTTTTTTTTCATTAAATTGAATTTGTTGACTTGACAAATGCAAAAGAAGAAGATGATTCTGTTGTGATTTTGTGTAACATAATTGTAGAGAGAGAAAGACATATACGGAGTATATTGCAAGAGATATTAATTAGTCATATACCTAGCCAAAATTAAATAAATTGTTAAAATAACAAAACAAATTATCACAAAAGAAATAAGGCGTAAAAGATACATTTACATTGTGTTAAAAATATTTCCCATTTTTAAGTGTTTTTTTTTTGTTTTCCTCCTAAATCCAGGCATGAATTTGGCATTTGGAATGCATATATCACTTAGAACTAGCCTTGAAATTAAAAAACTATAACTATCAAAATATTAGGTTATGTTTCCACAAAAAAAAAGATGCGTTTAGACGTATGATCTTCATTTTTATAAATATGTTACTGTTTTTTCAAAGGAATATTTTGTTTTTATGGAATTATAAAAAGAAATAACTATTCAAAAAAAGGAGAAAAATAAAAAAAAGAAGCCTGCAGGCGATATATGGTGTCATGTATGTTTGTGTCAAACAGTCTCACGCGTGGTTGGATGGGCTGCTGGAATAATTTCAGGCACCCCTTCCGCTTCCCCTCTCTTCCCCTAGGGTTTCCCGACCATTTCATTTTCCCTTTCTTTTTATTAAATAAAAAAAAACGATATTGCATTAAATTATGATAGTGTTATTTTCGATGAAAATATAAAATGTTAATATCTTAGTGTGACTTTTAAATTCCTCGGTCTTTCTATTATTTGGTTGCTTCTTCATCGTTTTTGTCATATTTCCTGTTTTTAATGATCACTATCATTTTTAGGATTGTATTGCTTTATTATATATTTGCGTTACAATTAGAGGATAATATTTATGTTCCATTATATAAAACTGAATTATATAGTAAGAGAATCTGTTTGAAAATGGATTGATGAATGAAAATTTTTTAAGATTAAACTAATTATTGAACATGAATTTAAACCGAACCGAATGCAAAAACAATCTTAAATATTGAATGAAAAAAAAAGTTATTTAAAACAAATATTTTTTATAACGTAATCCAAATCCAAACCAAAACTAATAAAATCGAATCCAAAAACAACCGAAAAAAATACAAAATATCGAACGCTTAATTGCAGTATATAATTTGATTTTTTTTTATATGGCTCGGTTGTGGGTGAGGTGTAAATATTAATTCTTGATACACCTGCATGTTGTTAATATTTAGCTACCACATTGAAATAGGATTTTTCTAGAAGTGATAATTTCACAAATTTGTCAAAAAAACTTGAAATAAGTCATGATTCATGAAGTCACTTTTTTTTCATATTTAATCTTGTAATATTCATATAACGCTTACAATAACTTTATATATATATGTATGTATGTACACAGAAAAATTATTATGGAGCGATATATAAACGTAATCATACAGATATAGAATAACTAACGATTTGCAATTCGAATATAAGATATTGAGAAGGAAATTTAAAAGGACCAAAGTTAGGAATCCTCCTCCTTGCAACGATAAAAGTTCTACTGAAGATTAATTACTTTGAAACCCTTGTCATTAAACTTCCATGAGAATCAGAACTATGCATTAGAAAATCTAGGAAACCATAATGTAAAATTGGAATATCATAGTATTTAACTAATTAATTAGGCACAGGTTTTGGAGTGAAGTACCTGAAGATTCTGCATAGCCCCCTGCTCATGCTGCGAAATGGACAGAGTCTACAAATCGAACTCGACAATACCTTTCGTACCAAAACAGAAACTAAAGAGAAGCACATATATATATGTGTGTGTGTGTGTGTGTGTTTATGTGGATGTATATGTATAATACAGGAGGATATGCATGGCTCCTCATACGCCATCTGCCAGAGGCCACCGCTGCTCGGTGGGCTCAGCATATGGCATACAGGGAGCCAGGCATACATATATACATATATATACGTGTGTATAGATACATGTCTACTTCATGGTATGAGCGTGTGCGTGTGCATGTATACATGCCATTTCATATATGAAACTTCCTTTGTGTATACCCATGGAATTCTAAGTGAACAATGGATGGAAATCTTATGAAAAAGGATTGACAACTATGTGAGTAAATGCATTTGAGCATATGCAACCTATATGAGTCATATATATATATATATAATCGCATGCGTCCTGTATTCACATGTGTGGAGATGCGGTTTAATGATGTTTTCTCTTCTGGAATAAGGATTTGGTTTTCTTGACACCCTAAAAAGATCACTTTCTTGAAACAAAATTGAGGAGGTACTGAGAATCAATGAAAACATATATACATGAGGCTGGGAATTCAGGAGAGGGAGAGATTGATAGAGAGGGATTGAAGGAGATTGAGAAAGCAGGAGAAGGGTTATATATATAAAAGAGAAACCTAAAGATGGAGATAGATATAAACAGATCGATATATAGAGACAGATATACGTGCATACAAACGTATACACAAACACGTACATACATATATCCAGAGAGAGAGAGAGAGAGAGAGAGCAGAAATAAGGTGTTTGGGTCAAAAATAAAAGATGAGAAAAAAGGGGAAAAAGAAAGACCCACAAGAAACCCTAAGGCAAAGGCAAGAAAGAAGGGAAAAGTGGCAAAGGGGGCTTGAAGTTAGGGCAAAGATTTTTGGTTATTTCGAGTCTTTTGAGATGGAAAACAAGGAATTGCTTGTGGTGTTAGCTTTCGCATCCCTTCTTCCCCACTAAATTTAGACACCCACACCACACACCACTCATCATCATCATCATCCATCATCATCATCATCCACATCATCAATACACAAACTCCATCTTACCTCATCACTCAACACACAAAACCATAAGAGAGAGCTGATGGGTTGGGAGGAAATTTCACAAGCTATAAAAAGAAACAAAAATAAGGATAAATTTTTTTTTATAAAAAAACCCTAAAAGAGAGAGAGGGTGTGTGTGTTTGAAATCTCCTTTTCTGGTTCTGGTGGTCTTAAAAAAGCTAAAGGTTGCTCTTCTCTTCTCTGAAGCTCATTTTGTCTGCAAGTGCTTGGATACACATTGAAAATATAAAATGTTAATATCTTAGTGTGACTTTTAAATTCCTCGGTCTTTCTATTATTTGGTTGCTTCTTCATCGTTTTTGTCATATTTCCTGTTTTTAATGATCACTATCATTTTTAGGATTGTATTGCTTTATTATATATTTGCGTTACAATTAGAGGATAATATTTATGTTCCATTATATAAAACTGAATTATATAGTAAGAGAATCTGTTTGAAAATGGATTGATGAATGAAAATTTTTTAAGATTAAACTAATTATTGAACATGAATTTAAACCGAACCGAATGCAAAAACAATCTTAAATATTGAATGAAAAAAAAAGTTATTTAAAACAAATATTTTTTCTTTCCCTTCCACCTTTTTCCCATCTCTCTCTCTCTCTAAAATTCACACACATACATCATTATATAGATATATATATACTCCCTTGTATTTATATATGCATGATTATCAAATTAACCTAATAATTGAAATACCATACTTGTCACTCTAAACCCCACTTTTCTGTAGAAATACTAATATATCCATGGTCGAGGAAAATCCGATTTAAATGTCTTACAAAATTTGTATGGAAACCCATATTATTGAGCGAAATTAGCCATAATTTCATGGTCTGCTTCGCACCGCATGCTAACAATTCTTGGGGCCATTCTCCTATTTTGCAAAGATCGACATCTGATAATAATTTAGAAAACTTCTGTTATAATATCTATTATTGTATGGTTTCTAATGAAATATAAAAAATACGTTAGTTGCGTTTATTAATCAATAATCATAAGATTAACCAGAGACTTTTATTTTTTATTTTTATTATGAATTCTGGGAGATGGGGTTGGTTGAACCTGGGACTCTCGCTTCGACCCTTTCTGTTTAGACTTTGCAATAATCCATACTGTTTTACTATACCTAATCCATGCATTACTTTGGAATACACACACACGTGTGTATATATGTATGTATGTATGTATGTATATGCATGTGTGCTTCTGTGTGTTTTGTGTATATGGAGATCTATTCGATTACACGTATATCTAGGACGAATCATGAACTTGCCCACCATCCATTTTCCTAAAATACAATTTATAATTAGTTAAAGCATCTTAGATCTCTATTTTGGTTTTATATTTTTGTGTTTCTCCATAAAAATACCAAGGATTATAAAAATTCCAACACTTGATATTCTACATTAAAGATCGGTTTACGCTTAATTTTTTAACACGTTTGTCAACAAAAATAGTTGTAGAACATTTATGTGTGTGTGTTTTCCCATTAATTTTACAATTTTGGGAACAGATTAATAAAAGGGAGACAACTGGTGGAGTATCAAAGTGTAGACAATAACATACAAAAAGGGATTAGGTGTGTAGTTGTCTGTTTCCCCTAATCCAATATTCCATTTGTGAATCAAATAAGGTAATTAAGTACAATCTGTCAAAATCAAATTAATTAATTATATTATTATTTTGAACTAAAATATTTAATTCACTCCGAATCCGAGTGAAGGAAACTGGTTAATTGCAATATCTCAGGGAGCCGATACAATTTGTGGAATTCAAGTGGCCCAAAATATAATAATTGTCGAGTACAATCACTATCTTGTATATGTCTCTTTGCTTGTCCCCATATATATATATATATGTGTGACTATAGTATCTTATATATATATATATGTATGTATATCCCTTATATATATGTATACATGTGTCTATAGTTTCCAGGACCAGTCAATATCTTAATAAGAATCTTTAGCTGTCAATAGAATTTTAGGGTTTACATCAACAGATCAGATGGCATCAGAGCTCAGATTTTTTGGATTTTCTACGCTTTCTTTATACGGCCAGTTTCGTCGTACGAAGGCTTATGGGCCAAATAAATAGTTATACATCATGGCATTTTTTTATGTGTTAATGTCATATAAAGTCCCACTTTGTAAAATCTAGAAAAACTCAAATAGTTATTGACCATCCGATAATTTTGATTAAGATTATTAAATTTACCATTTTTTTCTCAAAATTGTGCAAAGGGTGGTGTTCAGTACCGAATTAAATTTGACTTGGGTCATATTTCATTCATTTCGAATTATTTTAAAATAAATTGTTGGGGTATGGTTCTCCACATAAATCGAGTTTAAAAAAAATATTCGAACGGAATGATATACTAATATATATATATAGAGAGATATATGCGTGGGAATAAGTATATATACTCCAAACAGTTTTTTTTAGTAAAATTATGACTGACGATTTGGATTTCTTATCCGTGATTCATGTAATTTCATGCTACCAGCAATGATATTTTTCCGACATAAATATGCATGGGAATCATGCAATGCAAGTGGCAAACATGATAATGTCTTTCACTGCCATGCATGCGTGTATCCATCTTACCCAACAGGGTATAGCTCCATGCTGAGGCGAGAATTGGTTGGGGTGCCAATTGCTGGTCCCGTATTCGAGCACCTATGCTGGGGAGGGAGGGTTATTTCTTGGTTGGAAGGGTGTTGCTTTCTGGGTCCATGTCACCAAGCCTCTAAAAGATGTTTCCGGGCCTGAGAGCGAAAGCCCAGGTGAACCTCTCGGTTATAAAAAAAAAATGAATGCATTCATCTTCCGCTTTGGCCCTTTTATAGTTTGGATTTTAGACTTTTTCCCTGAAAGTTCTAGAAAAATGCCAATGGATACAAAAGGACATTGACAATGAAGGATTGTTTACATTGCAATATTTGATTCGTTGAAAATCTTTTATTGAAATTTGAATTTAAATTCTAAATTCATATCAAATGCAAATCAACATCCTCCATCCATTTACAGTGTATTTTTTACTAAACATGCTAAAAAAAATATTGCCTACATAATCACTAGATCATCTATTTTATTGCTACTCTTGTCTAAACGTGCTTCATTCGTGAGCGTCGATATGATAAACAAATCATATAGATCAAAGTCATATCATATATCATATTGAAATAAACGAATCATATTAATCAATAGAGCTGTGATGTTATTTGCGAGGTTTAACGACTTGATCTAATATTCTTCGTCTAAAATTCAGTACTATATTATTAAAATCGGCGTTGAATTAAATTCCAAATCAAATAATTGAAATAGTAATCATTTTCATTAGCCACGTTATTTTTTTTTTCCGAAGTGGTAATGACGATATCGATATTCACCCGTTTGAAAGTCAGACATGGCATTAAAAGTCGCATCAATTTGACCTGGGGTTGGGGACAGGAAATATGGTCCGACAGGAAAGTTTCCACGACAAAATTTTATTTTAAAATTTGAACTGATTATTATATGTGTCGATTTTCCAGTTCAAGTAATATGTCTTAAACAACATATGTTTAACTTACTTTATCGTGAAAGAATTCTATTCTTATTGATTTGTACCAAGATCTGTATTTGGTGACACATGAGTTCATCGATAAAATTAGTAATAATTTGGGATAATTAAAATAAAATTATATATATTCGTAAGTTAAATGTATTTTTCTGCCATAATTTGTATTTTATGAATATGCAGTAGCAAAGACCATTTATTTGTATTTGTTTTCCAAAAAATTCAATCAATCCAACAAGAAAATAGGAATTAGGGTTCCTCGACGAAGAAAATAGCAAAACGATCAAACAGGAAAATAAAAAAGAAAAAAGAGAGAGAATCGGACAATAAATGTAAAAACGTCTGAATGAAAACAATGTAAAAGAAAATTTTTTTTTGGGTAACCGGGTTTTCTGGATCGAGGTCCAGACTAATCCCGGGGTCGGGAGCCAGCCATGTGATTTGAATTATGCGCTCCCTCCCTACTATGGTATTCGAATTCAGGGCGGGACAGAATGTAAATGAAGATGGGAGGATTTTTGTCTTTTTCCTTCTTGTTCGGTTCTGAATCCTAACAAAAATGTGTCTCTGTGGGGGGAATATGCAAACTCCATCTAACTTCTCTTGCAATCACAACAACATACATACACATCATGACACATCTTTCTCTCTCCCCCTCATACATGTGTTTATATACATCTACATATATATGCACATGTATCAATTACACATGAATATAACAAGAATAAGACCATGTCAATGGCGAAACATCAATAATCATATTCCAAAATTCAAGAACAAGGGTTTAGAGGAAAACCCACACAGATATCCACTCCCCTATTAATCTTTTAATCCCTATCTATTATTAGAGAATAAACACAAGTGAAAAAAGTTGGAAAATGAAGCATTCTCCGAAGTACATACCTTTGGTTTTGTCATAAGCTGTCTTCTGTGGTTTTGTCTGCCTAAAGCAGATAAGCCTGAAGATGAAGATGAAGAAGAAAACAATGGTAAGTTAACAAATGCAATAGAAAACAAATCAATGGACGGGGGAGGGAAAAAAACGACCTTGCAAGACAGAAGGAGACGCTCTTTCGTAGTTTCGTCGTCCCATTCAACTTCTTCAAGCCATTCTTCCTTTGCCATGACATCGAGTTCGTTCCCATGGAGCTCTCGGAATCAAACAGAAGTTTCCTCAGCTTCGGACACTGTTTTATGCCGAGAAGTCTCAAACAAGGGAAAGGCAGAGGACTCCAGTAGATGCTCTTCAAGTTTTCCAGATCCTCCAAGTAAATATTTTCTAGTTTCAGAAAGGGTATGACACTTCCCCCTCCTTCCCCTCCGAAGCTTTCGGCTTTCTCTTTGCTTATTATCTCTTCGATATGATATGACATTGCGACATATAGAGAAGCGAGACTCGGAGCAAACAGCAGCCAAGTCAGGTCCCTAAAGCCTTGGCAGAGGACTATTTCCACGTTAAAGAGGTTTCGAAACCACGTGTTACTTGGAATGGTGTAAGATGGAAAGACCTCGCCTTCGTTGCCTGATCTCCGATCAAGCTTTATCTCTGAGATATCGGATTCTACTATAAGGAGGTCACGGAGACGATCCATAGCAGTGACGAGTGATATTCCGGAAGATGATACGAGTTCTCGAAGAAACAGGCATCGAGTACAACTTGCCAACCTGCGGTTCCTCAGAAGATGTTCCAAAACAGAAGCTTCTCTTATAGTAATGTTCAGAAGCTGTAAATGCTCCAAGGTCTGCAACTCATCTACCAAGCTGAGGTTTGAAAGAAGACCGGATGCATATAGTTTCAGTACTCTCAAGTTCGATAAACTCGATATTCCAACGATGCTTTGAAGCCTATATGTACGCTCTAAATTCAGATACCTCAACGTCACCAACCCTTTGACACCGACGGGCAGTTGGGCTATCTTTGTTAGTCGTAAGCTCAGATATTGCAGAGATACCAGCTTAGAGATTTCTTCCGGATATCGGTAAGGCCCTCATTACCTGATAGATCCAAAGCCACTAGAGACGGCATGAAAGGAAAGAACTCTGCCGAGATTTTCACCAGCTTGTTGTTTCGTAGAGACAGAGTTATAAGCTCAAAACACTCGGGATTGTCTGTTATGTTCTTGATTTGATTATTCATCAATGATACCCTTCTCGCAATTTTCCAGTTCTCGAGTTTCGGCATTTGATGTAATCCGCTACCAGCTTTCACCAGAAAAAGGTTGCTTTGTTTTCCTAAATCAGATGCTACCCACAAAGCCATTTCACGGACTACATAATGCATTTTCACACACCCTCCGGGCTTATGCTCTATCAGCAAACATGCTCGAACTAGGGTACTAATAATCTCGTAAGCCCGGTTCTCAGCTCTTTCAACATCTTCTTCATCTAAAATTCCCTCACCTATCCAGTACTCTACCAAGAGATGTTTACGTATATTGTAATCTTCAGAAAACAAAGCACAATATTGGAGGCACAACTTGGCGTTATCGTTTTCTAAGTGATCATAGCTGGACTTCAAGATGGGGAGAATCTCATCTTTCATACCCGAAAACTCGGTGGCAGATGAAGCCAAAACATCAATGGCATGACACCATTCTCGTACCGTCCTTTTGCAAGCCATGGTCTCACCAATTACGTTGAGGGCAAGGGGTAAGCCACGACATTTCCCGGCGACTATCTTCGCGAGTTCGGGTATGTCTGGATGACTCTTCAACGTGATTTCTCCGAGCTTGGATCTGAACAATGCCCACGCATTATCGAACGCCAAACACAACTTCCAATTCAACATCAACCCTCATCCTTCCGCATACTTCCTTAGAACGTGTGGTGAATACTACTTTGCATCTATTTTCCGTGCTCGGTAACGGAATCCCGATCTCCTCTAGAGTTACTTTGCACCATATATCATCCAGCAACAACACAAATCTCTTTCTCCTCAGCAATCTGTAGATTTCATAAGCTTTCTCATTTCTGCTCTTATGTTTCCACTCCTCAATACCAAGTCCTAATCTTTTCCCGATTTCCTCTTGCACCCTATCGATCTGTAGATCTTTAGACACCACAATCCATATCACGATATCGAATTCGTTCCTCGCCTCCTCGAGGAACTTATTGTTGATTTGGCAAAGCAGGGTGGTTTTGCCTACTCCTCCCATACCATAAAGTCCTAAAGTTTTCACTCCGTCTTCCATGAGATCCTTCCATGTCGTCTCAAGCATCGTCTCGAGACCAATTGTGGGTTGGATAGGCATCTCCATTACCCTAGGAGGAGGCGCAATTTCAGCCACCATTTCGAAAGCTCCTGCAGATATGAGATATTTTACCTCTGTCAACTTCTTGACTACTTCTTCGCCATAGCAATAGGTCGATATGACATTCTTGGAACAAAACCCACAGAAACACCATCTCTGAGCTTCAGCGCTACGAGCATCGAGTAGGTTACTGATGCTGGGTTTGATGGCTTTGACCCTTGAAAGCCATACTTGGACTTCGGCTAGGCGTTGTAAGCCTTTTACTTCTTCTATCTCTACCCTTCTGGACAAATCATCTCTCTTTGCCTCTAGCTCTTTCATCGCCATCTGCAAAGCCTCCAGATTCTCTCCGAGCCTGCGGACGTAGTTTGCCTTCCCACACAAGAAGCACGAAAGGGCTTGAACCAGTTGATCGCCTGATATGGAAACTGAGAAAATGTTACCCATCTTGGCCTGCTTTGCTGCAGGAGGCAAGGAAAATGGAGATGGAGAAGCAGAGGAAGGAAAACAGTGGAACTAGAAGAACAAAATGATGTAAATACGGAAACAGATCGGAGAAGATCAGAACGGCTTTTTTTCTGAAATACACTACCCGTGTCGCATCCATTTCAGTGGTACACCGTAAAAATAGAAGGAATTAACAAAAGTCATATTTACCCTTAAAAAAGATGGAAAAGACTATATAACCCTTAATAAAACGGGCTGTGTAACAAATGTTACACGTATACACGTTGTTTAAAAAAAAGAGTAATCATGTGACAGGTGGATCCAACCATGAGTATTTTTTAATTTTGTTTTGGAAATCGACTACAACCATATTTTTACGACTGGATTACGATTTATTTGCCACTATAGAATTTTAGTAAATTTGTAAAAAAAATCGCGAATTTTGATTTGGTTTAGTGTTACATATCAACAAATGTACAAAATTTTAATTAATGTGTGGTTTGTGACCTAAAACTAATTCTTTTCGTATAATTTGTTTATATTCTTTATATGTGGATTCTTTATCGACAAAATACATAATTTATTCGCAAATAAGTCGTAATTAATTCGCATAATTTATTCGAGAAGCAAACGTCCATAAAAAAAGTTAAAATCTAAAATAATATAAAAAGCCGCGTGGACAAAATATCTACGAAAAGTGGGTCCAACCATAAAGATTCTTTAATTTTATCTTGGAAATCGGCCACAACCACTTTTTTATGACTGAAATACGACTTATTTGTCACCATAGAATTTTTGTAAATTTGTTTAAAAAATCGCGAATTTCGATTTGGTTTTGTCTAATGATTATAAAATTCATCCAATAAAATGATATTAATCGATTTGAATTAATATTTTTAATAAATTTCAACAAATTTGAAATTTTGATTCATTTTATGTAATTTAGTTGAATATGTGAGTAGTTGGTTAATATACATTTAGTGTTACATATTAAAAAATGTACAAAATTTTAATTAATTTGTGATTTGTGACTTAAAACTAATTCTCTTTGTAAAATTTGTTTATATTCTTCATATGTAGATTCTTTATCGATAAAATACAAATTTTAATCGAAAATTTTAGTTCATATACGAAGTCGCAAATAAGTCGTAGTTAAGTCGTAATAAATACACAAGATTTTTTCGAGAAGCAAAGGTGTATAAAAAAAAATCAAAATCTAAAATAATATGAAAAGCCACATGGACAAAATACATACGGGTCCAACCATAAGGATTCTTTAATTTTGTCTTGGGAATCGGCCACAACCACTTTTTTATGACTAGATTACGACTTATTTGCCACCATAGAATTTTTGTAAATTTGTTAAAAAAAATCGTGAATTTCGATTTGGTTTTGTCTAATGATGATGGAATTCATCCAATAAAGTGATATTAATCGATTTGAATTAATATTGTAGTGGTTCAGGCCAGCCGGAAATCTCACCGAATCACTCCGAATCTCTCGTGTGAACCAAGACCGAAAGAAGAGGACGACACAGAGAAGTTACGAGTTCAGCACCGAGCGTAAAGCTCGGGCCTACGTCTCGGGAAGAGGAAGCCGCGTCTTTTGCTAGGGTTTACAACAGGAAA